GACCTGCCAGGAAAGGACTTGAAATAGTGGGTGCTGGGTGTAACCCTGCTGCTCGCAGAGGCAGAGGGCCAAGGGATCCTCTGTTTCTCTAAAGATGGGGACAGCAGGGAGAAAGTCCTGAGGAGAGCAAGGGAATGATGTGTGAGCTGGGAATGGCACCTGGTGATAAGGATGGGGGGGAAGGCGCTCCCTTTGCCTGGGAAAGAAGGGTGCTCAGCATCTTCCCCTAGGCAGGAGATGGTTCCCGAGGTGAGGGTGAGCATCTCTCACCACGGCCCCTGGATGGGACAAGAAGGAATCGGCTTCGTGTTCAGCGGCACTGGACGTGCTGTGTACGTGTCACCTGATGGCGTGGATGGCGAGCGCTGGATCTGATGCTTTCACAGGCATTTTTATAACCACCTGGAGAGTCCTGCATAGAATTAGGGGAGTTTTGTGCCCTGCACTGACCCCTCCATCTCTGCTGGTTGTCACCCTTCTACCTGGACACAGCTGGTCTGGGCTTAACTGAGCTGCTGCTCTCAGTTCCTTTAGGAGGGCCAAACCTGTGGCAGGGACTTGGAAGAGCCACGATGCTGCGTGACCTTGAGGAGTGGCTACCCCCTTTTCTGCCTCAGTTCCTCTGCTCTGCATCCTTCGCTGGCAGCCTGGCCCCTGCTGTCTCAGTGTCCCACTGGTCACGTCTCGCTGAGCTGCTCCACCTGCATGAGACCACCTTGGATTTGACTCGAGGGCTTTTCCCAGCAAACTTGCACATCCACCTTGCCGCTCCATCTGTTGCCTTAGCTGCACAGTTAATAGAGGGGCTTGTTTCTTGGCTGCAAAACTTCCTGCCTGTTGGACTTCCCTGTTGTTCTGCACCATTGTTGGGCCTTTGCTAATTCGCAGGGCACTTTCTCTGTTGCTTTTGGATTCTAGTCTCAAGTCGCTCCTGGTTATTTCTCTCTCTTGCAGCCGGATTGTGGCTTTCCTCCCATCTGAGCTAATCCTCAGGCTGCCCTGTCCCACGCTGACACCCGCCTCTTGATCGCGCTTTGCTCCACCTCCATCTGTGCTCGTGATCTCCCTTGGAGTGCTCTACTTTGGTGTCTCTCTTTAGTCCTGTCTCCCAGCCTCATCTCCTCAAGCCTCGTCCCCTTGGTCCCAGCCTGGCTGGGAGACTTTTCCTCACCTTGTTTGGCCACCTTGGACCTGGGCTCTGGCTTCCCTTCCTGCATCTTCTGCAGCTCCCTCTGCAGCACTCACTCATCTTCTCCCTGGAGCTGTAGATGCCTCCGACAGGACTTCAGGGGCTGTTCCTGCATGTCCTTCAGACCTTCCCTGTCCTCTGCCCCAGGCCTTTCTCTGGCAAGCTCATTCCCTTGACCACTTCTGGGTGAGGGTCCACGTGTGGTGCAGTGTCTCATGCCGGCCGTTCCGCCTGGCCTCGGTGGCCCTGCAAGGAGCTAGATTGCTCAGGGAAGAGATGCATGTTTAAGGGCTGGCTCTCTAGTCTGCGTCATGACTTGATGTGCAAAGATATAAATCAGGCAGCTGGGAAAGCGATGAGTTCATTCCCACCTGCGCGTTGGTGGTGGAGAAGCATCCGAGGGCATCCCCTCGGTCTCAGCACTTGGTGTCTCTGTAGCTCATGGGTGGCCCAGAGGGGTTGTGGGCACAGGCTGGGATTGGGCACTCAAAAGTGATGGGAAGCTGTTGCTGGCAGTGACTTTTCCACCTAGAACAACCCTTTGGGCTCTAGGAGGCTAAGTTTCTTCCAACGAAAGCTCCCAACCCTGCTCTGGCAGGACAGAGCATCCTCATCTCTCTTACCAGACAGTCCCAAAGCCGGAAAAGGGTTTGACTCAGCCACAGATCTTGCAGTTGAGTTGCAAATCCTTGCTCTCCATACAGTTGCATTCTTTTTTTTCCTTTAAAAGCCATGATTCCCACATTTCATGTGCTCAGAAGAGGCATTGCTTGTGCTTGGAGGAAGGTCACTACTCTTTCTGTGTAATTGGGAAGGGAGTTGTAGCAGCCTTTGATGCATCATTTGGAGAGAGCAGGTCCCAGACCTGCTGTTCAGGAGCCTCGGGGTGGCCTTTGGGTAGTCACCGTGGGATATCTTGCAGGCCAGACTGCAGCCTCCAAGTTTCAGACCACTTGGCGTGTGTCAATGTGAGCACAAGTCTCTCTGCTTTGATGTCCGCTGCCTTGGCCTAACCTGCATTAGGTGGTGGAGGGGCAGGTAGGTCTAGAAGAGCAGTGAATCTTGGCGATCCATCTTTCTGGGGGTTGCAGGAACCTAAAATAGCAAAAGGAGCTGAAGGTTCCCTGATGGGCTCGTTGGTAGCGGAGCAAGGGGCAGAGCGGTGGGGAGGATTTTTGCTTTCTGTTGCTTAAAAAGACAGAGTTTTAAGAGCCGCCTCTGCTCTGCTGCTAAAAACAACTCAACTTGTTTTTATTTAATCCACTTCTGATCTGGGTGTGTGTGTAACTGTTTCACCTGCCTGTGAAGTGGGAAGTGGAGGCTTCACAGGCCTTGGCAGCCTGCCCGCGTCCCTGTGCATCTCGTGGAGGGCCCTCTCTTTGCCTGCTCGTCAGAAACGCTGTTTCCTTTCAGCACCGCTCTGAGCTCGGTCACAAGAGGTATCGCCTGCACGGGATGCTGGAGGGGGCTGGATTTCCTTGTTTCTGCAGCATGGGGCTGAGACAGCTGATCCCCCCCTCGGCGCTGACGCCTCCACGAGGACCTTGGCGCTTACCTGTGTGACCCAGTTAAACAGAGACTGGCTGAACTCTGGACCCAGCCTAGGCAGGAGTTTTCAAGGTGCTGGTTTTTCACAAATTGCCTTGATTCAGTCAGTTGGATAAAGGACTCTGCCAAAACTCTAGATCTGAGCTCATCTGCGCTCTGAAGTTTTGGAAGGGGACGGGTAAGCCTTGTGCACCTGCAAAAACTCTGCCCCAGCTTGAGTTTGGTTCGCACTGCTTGCTCTCCACCAGCAGCTCCAGCCCCCTGTATTCTCCGTGCTTACAATTCATGTTTCAACCACTGTGTTGCAGGGAAACTAAGGGCCCATGGAGACAAAGTGAAGATTTTCACTAATGTCTGTGGATCTTGGACACCTGCTACAAAATACCATGGGCCACTTTATCCAAGGCATTGAGCTGTCAGGGTTCCTGCTGGCTTTCCCTGAAAGACCAGGCCTGAAAATGACTCATACTGGCTTTTCTCACTGTATATCCTGCTTCCATCCTTCCCCTCAGGGAATCAGAAAGTGTTTCTTGGCTCTAATCCAAAGGTTTGAGTAATTGGGTGGCATTGATTTGACAGGAGGTAACTGTTATTGCCTGTAATCAGAATACTGCCCCCCTGAGTACTCTCTTTAGAGGAAACCTGGCTCTGCCAGCGCCTGCAGGGATAGTCGGAATGGTCTGTCTATCAGCAGGGGCCCTGCGATGTCCTGGGTGCTCCCGGCAGGATGTCCCTGCCTCCCTGCTGCACAGCCCGTCCTCGGGTGGGCTCCTAAGAACCCTCAGAGGTCCTTAGCCTCCCAGATGGAAATGCTCATGAGGGCATCGGGGGCTGCTGCCAGCCTTGAATGTCACTGTTTTAAGAGGGGTGACGCCTGCCGTCAGCTCCTCACTTTGGGGCTTGAAGTTTCTTGGGATCGCCGAGAGCTCATCCACCGGCCCAAGCTCGCTTGTCATCGTTACTCTGTTTCCCACCTCTTTGGTTCGGACCTCCATGATATCCCGTGTGTCCATTCCCTGGGCAGCAGGGGTCGGGAGGCAGCTCAGTCCGTTCCCTGGAGCACAGGAGGTTTGGTTCAGCAATGGGAATAACCAGTGTGGGTTTTTTTTGACTGAGCAGAGGGTTTGGAAAGCTGTTCAGACCTTGACGTGGCCCGTAATGGTTGAGAAAGTCTCTGGCTGGGCAGGGAGAAGCAGGATGGTTGGGGGCAGCCAGTGCCTCGTTTCCATATGGAATCAGACCCGATCTTGGCACAGCTTGGGATGGTTCCCTTGGCCATGGCCAGCGATTGCTGCCAATTGAGCCGATGTGTCTTGAGAAGCCATGTCCCATCCTTCTGTAGCTTTAGTTCCTTTGATCCGTAAGGAAAGCCAGGATGAGAGGCTCTATGAGCCTGGAGTGCGCTGCTGGGCTGGGAGGCCGAGGTCAGCTGAGGAGGAGGAGGAGGAGGAGGAGGAGGAGGGAGGATTATCTGAAGTGCAGTGAATTCATCTCCAACTCCCCCTGCCCTCGCAGCCCTCAAAGGGGCTGCTTTAGCTGTCGCTTCTGGATTATATTAATTAGCAGGGAAGTGGTGCGCCCGCTCCGAGGACTCGGTGCTGGGCGGAGCGGAGGGGGCTTGGCAGGCCCTGTGAGAGCAGCTGCAGGGCGCCCCAGGCCCCGCTGACGATGCGGGGGTGGCGGGTGGCAGAGGCCCGGCTTGAGGCCGCCTGAGCCCGTCCTGGCGTCTGGGGCGAGCTGGGGTTTTCACCGGGGCTTGGGTGTCCCAAGCTGTGGGGTGCAGAGCTTGGGCTCTTCCCCGCGTGCTGTGGCACAGTCCGGGCAAACAAGGAGGCTCCCCCTTCCCCTAAGCATAGCTGCCGTGTGGAGCCGTTACCACCCCAGCTCACTGTCCGCAGCATGAGGCCATTCAGAAATGCCCCTGCTGATAACCCTGGGGAGTTTGGTCTTCAGAAACGGGTCATGGAGGGTGAGCGGGATGCCTTGGCTTCCCCAGGGCTCAGCAACGTGGCAGCTCCTCTTGGAGCCTGGCGCAGCCGCTCGGCCCTGCGCCGCTTCACGTGCTGGTGCTGTGGGGAAAACAGCGATTTCTGCATGGCTTGTGGGCACATGGTGAAGGGGACTCATCTCCTTTGAGCCCAAGCGTCGATGGCATCAGGGCTAAAACAAGTTGGTCTGTAACTCTCCCAGCTTCTCACAAGCCACGGTTGGCAAGTTTGCTTGAGGTACCTTCCTAATGCTGTGGTTGCCTGCTGTGTTTCAGGAAAGGAAGCTGTGCGCCCACCCTAGACTCGAGATCTACAAAGAAGACCGAATCTATTTTGTGTGTCCCCTTGCTCGCCAGGGGGACTTTTATGTGCCTGAAATGAAAGAGTTGGAGAGGAAGAGCAGGGCTGCGGCAGCTGAGGCTGAAGATGCTCAGACAGATATCACAGGTATGAGTGACTCCTGCGCAAAGTGACTCCTTCCCTTCTCCTCTTGGCCTTCCCAAAAGTCAGGGGCCCTAGATGTCCCCACTGCTGTTCTGTGAAAGCAGCAATCGAGGGAGATCTGTGCCTGCTAGGTGCCTGCCTGATCAGGGAACCACCACGTTTCAGTGAATCTTATCACCACGATTGGAAAAATAAAGCCCAATCTTGTCCCAGAGGATGCATGCCGTGGCCTGGAGAGTCCATGGTCATGCCTGGGATGGCAGGGAAAGGCTCGATCTGCTCCCACTGATCAGATCACTGATCTCACTGGCCCTCTGATACAACAGAGGTGGATATTGCTACTTTGGGTTGCATCTGGGCTTGGGTTTTTTTTCCCCTTGTCATATACATCTTTCCTGATCTCATCTTCAACTAACTGTTACACATTGGGATTGTGAAACACTGAAATACCAGTTTTCTGTAGCTGCTGGCAGCATGATCCAATAGCATCTGCTTAAAGAGATCTACTGGATTCTGTCTGTATTTATAAAGGAAGGGAGGGACCACAATCACTGTAGGCGCGGAGCAGCAGTGCTATAGTAACCCGAAATGCTAGTTGCTGCAGTCGTCCCACATGCTCACATGTTTGTGAGGTACAAAAGCTGTGTAATTCTGGGATTCAGGCAAGCAGAGGGGATTTCTACACCTTGGACTTTCGCAGGCTCCTAACAGTGACTTTCTGGGAAGGTAAATCTGCCCTGTACATTGCCCATGCTTGTGTAATGGGCATGAAAAAAACATGACAGCCTTTCCTGGCCTTGGACTCTCTGCCTCATGGGTAGTTCGGTAATTTTTTTTTTTTTTTTACACATCTTCAATTTTGAATTGCTTTAATTCTTTAATTCTTAATCGTGTTCACTGTAAAAACAAGCAGGGAAATTGCTTTGTGGGAGCTCTTTGCATTTAGCACTGGAGCTAAGAGTCTAATTTGAGCATCTTGCCAAAGTTGGGAGCTCCGGTATTTTGCCGGGGCTCTGCATTTCACCGTCTTGTCTGACTGTTTGTCGGAGCGCTGCCCCGGCGTCAGCAGGACACCGACGTTCCCCACACCCTGCTCCCTCCTGTCTTCTTTCCGAGGCTCCCTCAGGGAGCAGGATGAACATCTGGCTGTGCAAGGGGGTCACGCATGGACATTTCAAGACATGTCAGGACGCATGGATGTAACGGATGAAGCTGTGGCATAAAGCCTCAGGTGCTCACGTGCCAGGAAGGCTGGACAGCGCTGCAGCGTTTGCTCTGGTGATGTTCAGACCTGTCATGCTCTTCTGACAGAGGCCTTTAGCAGTTTTGTGTAGCTTTCGGTCTACTTTTATAAAGGGACAGCAGACCTAATTTGAACAAAAGCTCCCTCAGGTCCTCGCTTGCTATAATTGCATATGAGCGTTTCTATACATCTAGCCTCAGAAATTTGGGCCTGGAGTAGCTTTGTTTTGGAAACTATGGAAAGACAGCTATGTTTTGTAATGGGTAGGCAGGCTGGGGCAGAGTTAAGGTGATTTGAACTGTTCTGAGTAACTCCATTTCAGTGCCAGCACCTGGGTTTTGGTCAATGTGCCATTTTCAAAATTGTGGCTTTTCCACTGTAACAGAAGAAAATGGAGGGATCTCAAGAGAGAGGAAGAATGATGAAATGAGATGGTGTCCAAATCCCCAGGCTTTCTGCTTTTGGCAGGTTTGTCCGGGCTGCACCCACTCTAGATGGTAGATGAGCCCCCAGCCAGCGCAGATGGGGAATTATTCAGTGCATTTATTTTCCTGTACTGCCTGGTTTCTTGGTGCCTTTTCTGTGACTTTCCTGCCAAGATTTCTTTGTTGGTGGATCCTCCTGCTCATCTAGAGGAAGGGAGAGGAAGCTGTTTCAGATTTTAGGTGGCAAGTGATGTATGGCTGCTACTCTGGAACAGGCTTCTAGAAATAGCGGCCTGTTATGACAGCGATTCTCTTGTGGCTCCTCCACCACCACCTTTCCAGTGGCAGAGAAGCGCTTTCGTAAACACCATCTGATGCATTTATGTCTGCTGAGTCTGCAGAAAAAAGAGCTTAAAATAATAATAGCTTTAAGAGGTTGGCATTGCCTTTGTACAGACTAAAAATTTAAGTTGAAATGTCATAGTTGTCACCATCGTCAGTGCTGAGTGCAGAAACAGAAACGGGTCTGGGAGCTGTAGAGAGTATCTGGGGCTGAGATCACTGCATTGTTGTTCCCCACCAAGCCCCATGGAGGGTTGGAAGGAGCTCCCAGTCTCTCTGGTGGATTGTGTCCTTGCTGTCTGCGTGTCCCTTAGGTCATGTACGCAGCCCTCCTATTGGGAGGGTCTTCTCAGTGGTAGTTTTGTGCAGAGGGAGCTGGTGGCCAAAGAGCATCTCTATAACACAAGTTATTCGGGCTTTGGAAGAGGTGGCTGCGGCTCGTGGGGAAAGGCTGCCTCCTCTTGAAGAGAAGTGCCTGATGAGGAGAACTCAGGTTTACTGTTTGTGCTGCTGTGGCCACACTAGTTGAGTCTCTGGGACTGTCACATAGACCTTATTTCAGCAGCCCAGGTGCTTTGGTTGGAGTCAACAGGCAGGTCGGCCTCTCCAGGGCTTTGCTTCCTGCCTCGGAGGTCCTGCGTGGGTTTCCTGAAGCCTAGCAGGAGAAGAGCACCTGTGAGACAGGGGCAGCTGCTGGCTGTCCGTGCTCTTCCCAAAGCTTTGAATGCTCTACCGATCCGGGAATTGCAGTCCAAGTGCCTGCAAGGGGCCTGGGTTCAGAAGGCGTTAAGGTGAGGAAAATACATACAGTGAAATCATGACTCTCGCTAGGCACCAAACTGAAAATATCAACAGCAGAGACCTGTCCCCTGCTTTCCAGGTATTTTCCAGGCAGGATGATGCTGCCTGGTCCTCCTCCTGGATGCTGCATTTTGTTCGTAGGCCCACCTCTGAGCTGAGGAGAGAGCGGGGCAATGATTTTTCTTCCTATCCTTTCTTATTTTACTTTTAATCCCCATCTTCCCCAGCGAGCTCCTCAGCAAACTAGCTCAGCTCAGCTCACTGCTTCTTCAAACAGGGGCGATGGCCGCTTCGAGCTCTTAATGGTCCTGCAGTTCCCAGGGTGGCTTTGACAGCTCTCATTCGTTTCTCTCCTGGCTGCAGAACAGGTACAGCAATGTCCCCCGCTGCCTTTCGGCCCTTTCCCCCTTCCTAATTACAAGGGCTTGGATTATTGCTCGATTCACCTCAGTGCTGACAGCCCCGAGTCCACCTCAGTGCGGAAGGAGCAGGGGTGCTCCTGGAGGGACGTGAGTGGGCCCTCCAATCAACACGAGTGTGGCACAAACCAGCTCCTCTGCACTCAGTGGCCGTACGTGGACAGAGGAAGTCCAGAAACGGTGCTCTTGCTCCCGGCCAGGTCGCAAGGTAAGTGGGATCAGCCCGGAAAGTGCTGAGCACCTTTTCCTCTCGTTAAGGCGAGTGGCAGTCAAGGGGACTCTACGCAAGGCGGTGTTGAACCATCACTTCTGGTTCGGTTGGGCTCCCACGTTGGAATATTTTAGCCCTCCTTTCCCCAAAAATGTTGAAAAGAAAACCCATAAATGACCGTTTGATTTCACAGCAACTCTAATGTTTAGTAATGTCGTGTGTGGGCACAGTGCCTTTCAACCACGGTTCTCCCGGCTCTCCCCAAGCAGCTCTGCTCACACCTCCCAAAGTGGCTTGAATTAAGGACTTTGGGACTTTCCAGGGGAAGGCTCTGCTGTTCTGCCCACCTTGCAGGGCTTGGGTTTGTTTTCTTGAACGTGAGCAGTGAGCGCCTGACCTCGTAGCAGGGAAGACACATCTCTCATTTAGGCTGTCCTGTGTTGTCTTTCCCCTCTCTTGAGTTCACCCTGCAAGGTGCTGTGTGCTTCCAGCTCGCACTGCAGAGGTGGTTGGGTATGACCAAGTGTCTCTGCTCTCTGTCATCTCTGTCGAGCAGGAATCTGTTTGCTTCTCTGAGGACTTGATGTGCTCACAACACACTGGGAGATGCTGATTCCTCAACACCAACTCTGTCTCCTCTTTGCAGTCATCAGGGTCATCAGAAAGACAGGGAACATTTTTGGAACACAACTGATGGGTCTCCAGGGGGCCAGTGTCAATCACAATTAGTTTTGTTTTGTCCTTCATTATTTTCTTGGGCTTTGGTATCAGTGTTGCACTCAGTGGGCCTTAGCTCCGGGCTTGTTCTCAGCAGCGTCCTCCCGAGCATGACCCTGCTGCAGTGAGGAGAAGGTGAAAGCAAACACAAGATGCCTCTTGACATGGGGTTCCTGGTGAGAACACAGATGGTTTCTAAGCACGTGGCTCTGCCAAGAGGCTCAGGTGCTACTTTTGCTGAAGTCAAGTGTGTCCAGCAGGCTGTTCTGGAGGAGGTTTCTTCCAGCCGTGTTTCCAGGACAGTGTGGCCTTTGCATGGTGCAGGCTGGGCTGTTCCCTCTTGCTCTGAGGCGGGCAGCCCAGGACAGGTTTCCCAGTCTTCAAGTCCCCAATCCTGCACCCCGTGACTCCTGGGGTGCGGGGCGCTGCTCAGCAGAGATAGGCAAGAAACTAGGCGGCCAGCGTCCCGTCTGTGACTCTGCTGGTGTCACCTGCTGAGCCCCACTGCCACTGGGGGACACTTGGGACCCTTCCTGATGCCTCCTGCCTCTACCTTTTCCCTGCTTAACTACCGTTGCCCACTTAAGCACCATCACTGTTGAAGAGACATCCCAGCAGGTCTCTCCTGGAGCAGGGCTCACAGCACCAAGTTCTCGCACAGACAGGGACATTTCTGCCTGCCATGTGGGGACGTGGCCGCAGTCCCCAACACCCGGCCTGCCCTGGCGCCTGGTGGCTTTTGTGCCAGCTCTGGCGAGCTCGGATTAGCCGCGTCTCTCCTGACAGCTCATTGATCTATTATTTAGCAGCAGAGGCGATGAATTTTTGATCACGCTGGGGATGGA